ATTGGTAAATATATGTACCACTTGTTTCAACAACCACTAACCATCACTCCGTACTTGTTGGGTTTTTTTTACGATTTCACTGCAAACGTGGATTATTTTTTTGAACAGCGTTAATCAGCTGATCTTTGTAATGTTGAAGTGCTGTGTTTTCTTTAAGGTACGGGCTAAATTTTTAAACATTATTTATACGAATATCGGCTTCAAAGAGTTCATTATTTCAGTTCACAATATATCCCGTGTCCATACCCAACATTGACAAAATACGTAAGCAATTTTATTATTGCAGTACATTTTATTAAAGTAAAAGTGGCTTAAAACGAACGCTTTTGGTAGTAACGAATACTTACAGAGTTTGTCTTTTTGCTGTACGTAATATGGAAATGTTATATAGTCAGGCCCTCAAACATAAACAGCACCCTTAACTAACCACAATATATTTTTTGATGATGCTGTAATTTTCCTGTTACGGGATTAGTCGACTCTGGGACCCAATATTACCAGTCTCTCAACAGTGTTCGTGGAGGTAGTATGGGGAGAATCTTGTGCTATACTGACATTACGGATGCAAGAAACGGTGTCCAACCCAACCGCACTGCTCTTCTGCCTCGCAGTTTCATTAAAACACCAAATAAAACTTCGATACACGCTTATCGTGCAAGCCAGATCATTAAATGGTGATTCTGGTTTGCATTCGAAGTCCCAGCAAATCTTATATCGAATCCCAGGACAGGATATTCTGTCTAAAAATCCTCGCTCTTTTAAATATTCTCCATTTAACACGACATATATGTGGTGACACATACAAAGAGAATAGAACAGAAACTGCATAAGTCTTGCCACCTCCTGAAGGTAAGTCTAGATCCCTGAAACACTATTCGTGCACACAACCCACTTCTGGAGCACTCTACAGCCGCTCGTACTACCCACAAGACTTCTCCTGGCACCGGATAATACCTGTTCTATAAAACCCGCTTCCTCAGGGACAGATTGCGCTAAGAGTAAAAAAACACTCGGAGCTTCCTACGGAGCCAAGGGCAAGGACAGTGGGGGCGGAGGGGGTGTTTTGCCGCTGAGGGGAAGGTAAGAAAACTCACGACGTACCGCTTGAAACCTCCCTTCTTCTCAACTCAAATATTTAGCGACGGACGTTTTCAAACAGAAAACACCGAAAAGTTTAGAAAGATACATAGCTTCGTAATTACTATCATAATCGTTCGTGTTTTGTTTTATCCTATGTGATTACGAAGAAATAAAATTCAAGCAAAGAAGACGAGTGTCAAGTAGAGTAAGCCCTTCGGCGCCACAATGAAAACATAAAGTCTCATAACAGAACTCCAAAAATAAATATAAAAAAAAACATTTTTGCAAGCACCGAAAAAGATATAAGGCCAGTTGCAATAATTATTGTTATTATTTTTGATTAACTTGCAGGGTTGGCTAGGCGACCAACGAACCAGTCAAAAATCAAGACAAAACTTGAAGTAGCATCTAAATAAACGGAAGATATTACATCCACAGGCTTGATATGATCAGGCTGATGAACGTTTTTGGTGATACATTAGCCATACTTAACTATTAATCTATGCAATGCATATTATCTATATCACATTTACTAAGAAACCCGAACAAGTAATTGATAGACTTTAAAATTTGGCCGCGGATAGAATACTGTTCATAACACTGAAATAAAATCACGAATATGCAAATAGCTTGAGTGTGTATAATGACAGTAGAGGAAAATGCCTGTTTTATGTCATAATTTGTTACACACGATTGGATGATGGGAAGTAGAATGATAGGGGATTTGTATTGTAGCCTGCTATGGAAGTATCGTGATTAGAGGCAGAGATGTATCAGGGAATTCAACTCTGTAAACTATTTTACTTTATATGACGGATTGAAGGAAGTGAATTTTCGGGCGGAACAGAACGAGAAAATGGAAAATCGTACTTTGTTGCAGTGCAAGACAGGACTGAGAAAACTTTAATTGAATCAAGGAATGGATCAATCCCGCGTTAGGTTACATTATCTTCGGTTAAACTAGCTTTGGTTAAATGGGGTTGGCAGCAGCTTCATTAAACTTCGGAGCAAGGTCGTCCTACTTGTGACTGTATCCTGACGCTGTCCCGAACTACATTGCGACAAAACTACCAAAATTAGTTGCCACAAAATAAATTTAAAAATATTATATATGTACAAAATTTGCAAAGTTACTCACAAATTTAGCAACAGTATTTATCATCTAGCTATTAGAAATAAATGTACTTACCTGCCAACGTGGCAGACAGTTGACAGCATCCAAGCACAGTAGCGTACCCAACATTTTAAACACCACACAGTAAAGTCTGAAATATTACGTCACATAAAGCCTACTTTATATTCAGATTATTAATTTCTCCTTACATAACATAATCAACACTACCATAACGCTAAATTTCTAAGATTCCAGCAGACATGATTACTTATATCCACCCACGAACACGGAAGATTCTCGGCACACAACATGGACGAAATGACGTTCCTCAACTGTAACTATCACCACTATAAAAATCGCTGTTGATTGGTTGGTGATCATTTGGAGTTGATAAGGGATTTTGGCTCTTATGAAAGTTGTTATAATCGTTACTATGGTACGATAATCATTTGCTGTTAAGGGATTCTCGGCTTTATTGCACGTGAACATTTAGGCTATTACAACCTGGATAACTTCAGAAATTATATGCGTTCCTTAATTAAGCAGACATAAGTAGTATTATTAATTTCTGTTTTCTTACACAAAATTACTTCATTTTAATTTTTAGATTCTGTTTTGGGGAAACTGCATTGAAACAAAAAACTGTTCACTCATCCATGGCCGGCTATGAATATGCTCACAGATAATACCAACAATCTGTGCCGTTACACGCACTTCTGGGAGGTGTAGCTCTTATTAATTCTTAAACTCGGCATTAGATGGGGTGGCTGGTCAGGATGTAGAGGCTACATAAGAAAATCATCTGCTAATGCCAAGAATCGAACGTCGGTCGCCCAGTCCGTAGCCACACACAAAACTAACCTATAAGCACTAGGGCAGTTCACATTTTCCCCGTTACTCTCGAAAACTTGGATGATAATGTGGACATAAATACAGGTTAGGGAAATATCTGAGATGTTGAACCCTGAAGATATAACTGGTATGTTCCTCTGAAACACTAGTAACCACCTACAAGGCTATACAGTGTCACAACACAGAAAACCACAATTAATTCTATACCCATATTTTTCTTAAATCTCTAAATTATACATGTCAGTTATAAAATTGTAAGAAAATTATCATAAATATTATTATAATACTGTCCTGCACTGATGATATTTTAGGTTAAATGTATATAATTTAATGAAATGCATATTTTATATCGTGTTTTAAATGACAGACTGTTTTCAGAAATTTGTTAAATCACTCTTAAACTACATGAAAATCACGACTCACTGCGATACATATGGCCAGCATAAATAAGATCCAATGAATCTAATTTTTAAAATACTCATATATACTACAATGCAGGGTGTCTTCCACTTACACAACAATTTAATTTCAGAAGAACATACTGTCTCCATTTTCAGGGCTGAAGTTCAGCCCTGGAGATGGAGATAGTATGCCCCTATGAAATTTTGGTACTACACAGTATGACAACCAAGAAGACCGCTGTGAGAACCTCACATCCTACAATAATTTCAGAACAATGACATCCAGAAGAAGTGAACTTGAGCTCTTCATGATGTTCTGCCCCTTATTTAAACTCCTACTTACAAAAGAACCAAGAAACATTTTTCTTTTGAAGTTCTTTATAAAAGTTCATTAATAAGAAAAATAAAAACTTTTTAATTACTTGAGAACATTTGGGGTGTACTGTTTTTAAAATAGCCCCAAGGGAAATTTTAGTGGAAACTTGGTTTAGATAATAATATGATTCCCTTTCTCTTGCCTCCTAAGCTAACCTCTCTCCCCTGTAGACTTTCTCTCTTCTACATATTACCTTTGTACACTGTGCAGTTAAGTTCAAAAGAAGTGTTAGCACAAGACTGGTTTTCTTTTATACATTTCTGTAAATTAAACAAGCCAACTCTTAAGGAAACTGTCCTACTTAAAGAGCTTCAAGATATGGGATTTTGTTGCTTCTACGAACAAACAACCTGCAGAACAAAAACTTTGATTCCACAACTTAATTACACAGTAAAATGAAATAGGACATGAAAAGCACAGCGAAGTACTTCAGACTGTAAGATTTTCCTCAGAAATAACCTCATTTGAAAATGATTTGTATTTATACCAATCTTAGTTTGTATCATTTCCTTAATGAATATTTAAATTCCATTATTAGCGGCAATGTCAACAGTGTTCATATCGTAGGTGCTCATGTCACACTTTAGTTCCTAAGCTTTCAGGGGTGTGCTGCATCAAATGTTAAGTACTATCCAGTGTTTTGGTAAACACTGCAGTTGCCATCTTCAGGGTGAATGCATAATGGTTGGGCAAATTTTGGAAGATTTATATAAGGCAGGCGGTAGGCGAGTTAAATCTGGTGCTGCTAATTGGTGGAGTGGATGAGTGGGCTGTTATCCAATTGTAGATGAACACGGGGTTGAGGAAAATAGGGGAAGAAAAAATTGTTTACGAACACGTCATGACAAAATAATTTTGCTGAGCATGTTAATCAGGAAATTTTGATAAATTTTGAAATTTTTGTCGATGGTAACCCTTTGAAAATTTTTAAAAAAATTTAGAAATGGTTTTAAATTATATGCGTGGAAAGGATAGCAGGTGATTCTTTGACCACAACATTCAGAAAAGAGTTGATGGAAAAACAGCCCTTTCGAGGACTTGATGAAGGGGAAAAGGTGAAGGAAGTTTTCGAAGTGGCCTTATAGGGGGTGACAAGGGGTGAGAAGAATTTTGCATATATAGGGGAAGAAAGGTTACAACTTGAAATCTCTCTTTTGCAATACATCATAGCATCACCCTCATGCCAAAACTCTGATCTTTTATTTCATGAAATAAATATTTCACGTTAACAATTGAAATGCGTAAACAACAGAGCATCACTGAATTAATACGTCTAGATAGTGCCATGACAATATGACACTGTCCAGTTATATACAAATATTGGCAAGATATGGCAAATCTCATTTAAAAATGTACGCAGGAAAATTTCTTAATTTTGTGAACCTACTTTTTCTGTAAAACACCAACAAATTTGTGATGGTAACATCACAACCTCCCCCCCCTGGTGTGATGTGATAGTTTATTGATGTTTAGAAGATTTCAGGACGAAGCGGAGATCTCCAAGACATCGGAAAACTTGGCCACTTCAAATGTTCACCCTTCAGTGTAGGGATTAAGCACTTTACACTCTCTATAAATCTTTCACTTACCATGAACGAGCACGTTACACGTGCTCATTATAGCCTATGATTTTTGGTACTCTCACATGACTATTAATTTTCAAACAATGAACAACAGACCAAACTATTAATTCAGAATGACAACAGGAATGGAATACCTTCACTGAAATTTTTAAAAAGTAAATGGTTACATGCAAACATGGCTGTTTTGCGTTGACAATTAAAGTGATCCTACACCAGAGAGTTAACAATCCTCTGAAAACATGAAGACTTCAATACATACCATTATTCTTAAGTATATCAACAATATCCTTATTAAACTGCTATCTTGAGCAATTTCATACTGAAATACTGGGTTATAGTAAAAGAACTCCTTAGTTTTAAGACCTAATGTTTTGTTAAATTTTAGTCAAACAACAATGAGAAATATTCAATAATCATCTTCACATAGGCAATGTATAACAGTAATAGTGGAATTATATTCCCAACACATTCAGATTTATGGCATCTACTTAATGGAAGGTCCAGCGTGTCACGCTGTTAGCCAAGTTCAAATTCCATATTACAATTACACATAATTTTTTTTTATAAAAGTACAGAAAGAAAAACTGAAGACCTGGAAGCAACAGCGGGACAACCCGCAAAGTTTAAAAATCTGAAATAATCGAAAATATAACTTCATTAATGGCCTCCCTCTTTATATAGAGGCAGGCTAAGCCAGGTATGGTCATCTGTTATCTTCAACTTCAGTCTTTCAAAATCTTACAAAGTGGAGTCAGGGCAACATAATTTATCTCAAAGTCTTAAAATTCTGAAACTAATGAGTTCTTTTCTGATTACCCTAAACAAAATTCTCAGAGCTCCCAAGAAATACAAATTTTATAAATAACAACATATACTTTTCCTCAAACTGCTTCATGAACAGTCTAGCATAAGCACGTGTACAATTTGATCATGAAACCACGGTATGCAAAGTTTAATAATACAACAAACAATTTTCATCGCAATCTATAAAAAATAAATAATCTCACAACACACAAAGACCATATCTCAGCCACATCGAGTGAAAAGCATGTACGAGAGGTACCAACACAATTTTTGGAATAGTTATCCAATTTTGAGTTACCTTTATACAACTAGCCGAACACAAATGTAATAACAATAACATAAAATTATAAAGACTGGCAAAGTATTACAGCAGAGTAATAAATATCTGACAGTTTCTTATCACCAAAATGCAGACTGTTACACATGAGAGGGTTCGTCATAGGATGCGTTATCAATTTAGTTGGTTTCAGCACAAGTCAACTGTTTACTGAGTCATACTTCAACAACCAGAATTAATTAACAATTTATAAATTACACCATGAAGTGCTAACTATTAAAACTTCAAGATATTAATCTACAAATACTTTAAAAGCAACCAATGCTGCTGTGAATACAAAGAACTATTTACTGCAATAAGAGGCGTAACCCTAAAAATAAATGTGCTGGAGCAACGTGGCATGCAGTTCCAAGTTGAAAGGAAAGGGCATGAATCATGATTGCTTCACTACAGTTACAGATCTCAGCCAATGCTATTTTAAATTTTTAGCAAATACTAAACTAGAACATGAAGAATTTTCAGCACTAAATAATCTGCTAAATCAGAAATTTAAGAAAACCATGAACAAAAGACAAACTACTAAGAGAGTGGGTAACAGCTTTGCTGCTATGTTTATCTCCCCATTAATTTAATGGATAAATCAATAACAGTTTGCACATTTAAACCTGTATATACCAGAAGACTGACAAGAACACTAAATCGTGCATGTTTCAAATTTTGCCAAGATCTCCTAAGAAGGTCTCAAAACAAGCAACAGGTGAATTTTGTTGCATCTAAAGACCTAGTAAAATGTGACAAGTGCAAATAACACAGCCTTAGAACTATGAGAAATACACAAGCTAAATATACAAAACTGATATTAAATTACACACCCTTCAAAATCTCATTACAATATGTACAGAACTAATTGAAAGTGTCTTTTACGGCACCATTCCAAACCTCTACTCCTTGCCTATCAATCCCGCAGTTTAATTTCTGAGTGTGCCAAAGCCAGCAGAACTCACAGACCATGTATCACATTCTAAGTATTCCTATCACCATCCAAGCATGACTCTCTTATTCCTTGCCTAGATGTCAGTTCCTTCTCTGCTTTCTTTTCAATCACAAGCTTCTCTGCTGCGTAAAGATTTCCTACTACAACCTAGAACAGTTACAAAGTTATAAGTATTATTTTGGGTATTAAAAACAAGTTATGTTATAACTAATTCTTTGAATATTTATGTAAAAATAATTATAAGGACAATAACACATCAAATGAAGCATATTTTGAGCTAGTCTGAACTCATTATTGCCTACATATTATTCAGACTGGAGGTATATGCACTGTTTGGTTCTGTTTCAGTAAAATTACATGGCTTGCCACATCTTCCGGGTAATAATTTGGTTTAGTAAAAGTTAGATGCTGTCATATATTTCAGTAACTTGTAATATCTCAAAATCCCATTCAATGAGTGATCTCTCTATAAAGATGTAGACTTGTAACTAGTGACACGCTTTTCTCCTATGACACAATTTTTCCATCAGTACATCAACATATAACAAATTTCTGTAATATATATTATTTCATCATCGTTTTGATCACAAACAAAAAACTGTATGGACATTTAAGAGATTTATATACTTACACATACAGCCTATAAACAGAAAAATACAAAATAATTTCGCTTATATCATGTAGATCATGACATATGATGTAATGTATACAATTGTTTCAATATTACAAAACCGTTTTTAATTTAAAAAATGTCAGATATGTTGACTTTTGACTAACCGATATTCTTTATCATAACTTGTGGCCGAAATACGAAGACTTTTAAAAATGTGTCACTGTAACTAACCTGCCGTTTGATTATTTCTAAAGTTTCTTCTGCCTTATGAACAGCTTCTGTAATTTCTGTAGAATCAGTAAGAGATTTACCATCTTTAAACGTGTCCCGAACTCGTCTTAAAGCATATAACCTGAAAGAAAAACATAAGATTTAAAAAAAGAATACCAGAGGTATAAACTGCCAGTAACAAATGTACAATTATGATATATGTACTATATATCCTGATCTAGAAACCTCGATGTATATTCACCAATGAAATATGTCCCGAACTGTATCTGATTACTTCGGTGTTACCTGATAATTCCTGTATTTATAACTTTAACCAGCCTCTAGGTTAATAAACATAACCTCATTTCAAAGCAATATTGTGTTATTCTGGGATTTGAAATGTTATTATATAGCATAAAATAATCATGTTCACAAATAACCTGTAATTGTACGAAGAAAACTTCTCGGATTCGCGCAACATTGTTTTATACAATTTCAAAACATGATTCTTTGAAATTGCCATATCACAAGTACAGTATTCAGCCGGTCACACATACACCGTCTCCGCAGGCAATGTAAGCATGTGCTTCTAAGTTTATTTTATTATTAGTGTTCTGTCTTATGACAGTGGTGTAGATACATAATCAGAATTAGAGTAAATATCAACGAAGAAAAACTGCAAGTTTCGGAGTTCGTTTTTAATGAACCTTTTTACCATGTGACCATTAGTTCACAAACGCTTGTACTTACACCATATAAAAATAATTACAATTACTTCCACCACAGCAGCACACGTTAACATGGCATTCACCGCCATCTCTTGACAACACCTCTCTAATCAGGTACGATGGTTGTGCCCGCAATTGCATGGGCCGAAGTCTGTCCGTTCGGACAATACGGCGTACAATTTATTGAAGCATGCCCCCTTTAATATCAAATACACAAACTGCTCCTTAATTTGCTAAACATAATATTTGGTTTACACATTATAAAGCTCCTCATGATGCAATTTTTTTCACCCTCCTGTTCTCTTAGCACTTTCTCAAACACCGTCAATCAGTGTTCTTCTCTTAGCATAAGAGTCCAAGTTTCAAACCCAATACAAGGGAATACGTAAAATTATAGTTTTGCATATTTTAATCTTTATAGTTTTAGACAGCAGACAGTAAGGCATACATTCTGAATTACAAGCATTTCACAAATTCAATCTGCTTTTTATTCATGCATGAAAGCAATTTTGATTTGTTACCATCATTCCCAACACCACCACATACTCAAACAATTTATTATGGAGAAGGCATTACACAATAAGAAACTTCATAATTTTGATCCATTAGTGTTGCTGGTGTGGTAAAATTTAAGACGTTACACTGGATTGGATATGGGAAATTTTTATGAAGAAACTTCTTGAAGAACATAAAAATTAAAAACATAGCGAAGACCTTGTGAATAGGACTGAACTGGCTCAGACCATGTCCAATGGTCTCCAGCATGTAATTTCTGGTTCTAGTACAAGATTTGGTTATGACAGGCAATTCTCAGAAATACTGATACTTAGTATTCTCACAATATTTTATAAAAAATTTATAAATAAATGTATGGACACATTTAAAATGCTGACACACTTATGAAACACAATTTGGTAAATAAGGTTTTTATTGATAATAAGTGTGATATTCACATTTATTAAGTCAGTATACATAATATACAACAAATGAAATTTATGAGCATTATGGCATTTTCTTCTATAACTTGCTCATTCTTTGCCATAAGAATGGGGAAGTAAAATATCTATAATATATATGTATATAAATACTGCTGGCAAAAATATCTTAAATTCACAATGGAAAATTCACACACATTTACACTCTACTCCAAGTTCCAACAGAACATCCAGCCGTACCCTAAGCATTGGGTAATTTAAACAATCTCACACTTGCAAAATTTATGCTATTCTACCAAAAATAAGCTACACAGATACCTGAAGGTGAAGACCTTCCCTATAGTGGGAAACAAACATGAGGCTGATTTAACATCAGCTGCTAGTTTCGACAAACTGATTCAAGTCTTCCTGCAAGTGAACAATATCCTATTACGAATTGGACACAAATAAAATCCCATCATTTAGGCATGTACAAAACCAGATACAAGGTTTCAACTGGAAATTTACCTCTTTTACACACAACCTCTGATCAGATAAATTGAATTAATATCCTCTAAAACCTTCAATTACAATGACATAGGAATATTCCTCATAATGACAGAATCATTAAGAATCTATAATAAAAAAGTCATCATAAAAAGATGCAGTAATTTGAAATGTAAAGTAGTCCCTATACTTACTTAAGCACAACACAATGAATACGTAAGAAGTGGATGTGTAACTCTACAAATTCTTAAACCCAGGAATGACAAGATTGAGGTGAATATTCAGCTTCATGAACCGGCTACTTTACCCTTTGGGAAATAGCCCCCAGTACGAGCTAGATCTCTGTCTGGTGTATGTCATAACACTGAAGTAAGATAGGTTTTATTCATAAATCACAGCTGCACTGGACAGCATCACTGAAAAAGCATGCTACACTTGCACAAAACTTCAATTGATGTCAGCACATGGTACCGAATGGACAAAGATTATAACTGAAAATGTTTTACACAATTAAACTCACTCATTCTTCTTTAATGTTGCAAAATTAGAAAAAGTAAACACCAGTAGTCGCAGGCATTTAAAATTATCATTAGAACAGCCACAGACAATGCAACTGTCATAAGCATTTTCTATACAGATATTTTATTATATTCTTCAAAAGGGATACAAGAAATGAAAAATATGTGCATACCATAAAATATTTATGTATTTCAAATCTATAACTTTTGCCTGGAAAATATGCCCACACATACAAATATTACCTCCCAATTATGAGGTAATTTTTAGTTTATCCAAAGAATGCATAAAGCATGGACAGAATCTGTTTATATATTTTAAGATGAAACATGCAAAAAAAAAAATTGTGGACAAACAAGCATAATTGGTCTCCCCATCTTTATATCATTTTCTGCACTTCAAAGAATGTATAAAAACATAAATATGCTTATATTTAGGGGTAAATGGTTTAAGTATTCAAATCACACAAAACGTGTGGGATGGTGTGAAAATGTTTATATCTCTTAGTATTTTAACTGTATGCTTAGTTTTCACAAAAACATTCTGCATCCATTATTTTGGCTAACTTTAGCTTACATGGAATGATAAGATTATCATCTGTATTCACATTGCAATCAGAACCTCAAATCATACTTTGATATCTTTGTTCCAAACTTGCCCAGAAATAAAGGTCAAAGTCTCAACAAATCATAAATGTTTCTCTGAATAACAAAGGAACTGCCAGAAAGCATTCCAGTAACTTAACCCTTATGACTTATGTGTCACAGCTTAAGCATGATCTCATAATATGGGGGTTTAAATCCCATATTCGCTCATACAATAAAGGTCTAAAATCTGAAACTTCAAATTTAATTTTTTAAAAAGACTAATGTGAGGAGTGTGCAAAAGAGATAAATTTGGAACACATAAAATTTTAATGTGACCACCACAGTGCCATGCGTATATGTTTCTGCTAAATACATGTTTCTATATGGATAACAGCAAGCCTTAGGAAGATGAACATAACCTATAAAAAGGACCCTGTAAATAAATTTCTTCACATAACTAAACAAACGCCAGATGAGAAAACATTAAAACAGAATATCTTTAACCAATGATCATAGTTTCTTTTGTTTTCACATTAATTGCAGGGACAAGTCTCTGGTAACGTATTAAAATGTAGTAGTACTTCATTCAAAAGCCACATACTGCTTATAGGACTGATGTTTGACACTACAAATTACAACATAATATCACATAAGAAAATCATATAAATGCATGTCTATAATTTTGTTACAGTACATATATTCAGTGAGTACTACAGGTAGCAGCTAGTAGACTTTTAAAATCAGGAATGTCAAACAATAAGAACACACAAATATTCGTAAGTTTATTGTACCATGTTATATACATGGCATTTCTTGGTTCCAACTCCATCAGAACCTTTTACCTACACCAATTATTACTATTTCTCTTAACATAGTGCACTTAGCAGGTCATATTTTGGAAAATATTTTAGCTAAATTATCTGATTCTGAATGGGGCCCATCACATTATTAACAATGAATGACACCCTTGTCTGAACTATCAACAAGTTCCAACAAATCAGGTTGTCAGTCATATACAAGTGAACCTACAAATACCATTACAAACAAATTTATTCAGTATGTAAATCTAAATTTTTCCACTTAAATTCTAAACGATAAAGTGATCTCATTACCTGCATCTCTTTTTTTGCATTCATTAACTAGTGAGAGTGGCGTATAATCGGAGATTGCGTGGAATCAAATTCTTCTGGAAGAAATGTTCTGTCATGAGTGAAATATTAATTTCCTGCACACAGGCATTTAAATTTTGCCATTATTATTTAATTATTTCATATTTCTTTACACCTATCTAAAAGACAATCAGATGCGAACTACAATACAACTTTGAAACTAAACATCATGCAAAATTATAAGGGGGGTATAAAAAATATACAAAATGTTCATAAACATGAGATTCAAGGTTTTCACAGCAGTGAAACTGTGGACCCTGTTCTTCTGGGTTATGATTCTGAGTAGTCTTCCAGATGTAGGATTTGAGGTTTTCATAGTGGTGAGTCTGAAGATGACTGTCTTCTGGATTGTTGTGCCATGTAGTCTGGTAGAAGTTTAAGATCCTAGTACGTCCTCCCGTTCATGTGGAATTCCAGTTGCAGAAGTGGCCTAATCCACAAATAAAATCATGGGGGGCCCAAAATCCAGTTACTAAAAGATACGTATTGAAGCAGCTGAGCAATATTAACAAAACTTGGTATGATTTAAAGCCAACATAGGTCAACATGTTTTACTTTCAAATCCTTCCAGTCAATAACACCAACATAAAGAATAAACAAATAATGGAAGCTGTGGAAGAGTCAACAACATTCAATGAATAATTTTGGAATTTTGCTAAAATATATGCATTTTTTTCCAAATCATATTCATATAAATTTATATTTGATTTTAACAAGTTATGAATGACTGAAAACTGATGAAATAACATAGCCATTCAATTAAATCATATTTACCACTGATGTTAATGTCTGATTATTTAATTTATGTAATGGTGCTGTTATCAGCTGCTGAAAATATACATTCCGAAATGAGAAATGGTTTCATAGGAATAAATACGAAGCTGGCAGGACACAGGAAACTACAAAAGCATCACCCAGCCAAAATTCAAACTTTTCCCCACACATGATGCACGAGAGCCGACTACTCATGGCAACATTCAATGGCTGATGTTAGAAACAAATATGAGTGTGGACTGTTTAAAGAATAATAATAATATGAGACTAGGAGAAAGACATGCAGATTGTTGATCCGAGTCCATGATTCATTTGTTCAGGTCCCTGTGTATGTGTATCTTTGTGTTCCTCATGCTAGTAACTTAGTCTGCCCCTTCCGTCATCATCTTGAATACAATAATCTCGCACATTATCATACATGTCCAATATCATATAATTTTGTTCGGTATATAGCCCCAATGAAATTGACAGATCACCCAAAGGCTTTTAGCGTGTTCCAAGTTTGACATGCCTGACTTAGTATTGGTACACTGTTGTTTACAGAAAATGGACAAATAATTAACATGTACCTGACATGTTACTTTCAACAACAAAATGTGTTAAATTGACTGTGATATTACAAATCCTCAGCTATCAATAAACTGTACACAAAATAAAGAAAACTGAAGAGACAGAAACATGAATTAGTTGGCAATACTTATGTCAACATTAAAAAATAAGTAAAATAAAATAAAATATGGTACCATTTATCAGTCCATCTGGAACAAAAAATTACAATAATTTGTATCGGTGTGAAATGAGCATTCAGCAACGCAAAATTTACATTATTATTTTTTAAAAGAAACTGTGCTATCTATAACACTGTGTGGATATTTCTTACGTTGTTTATATTACTTAGATACTTTTCCAAACTAAGTATAATAAAGATGAATCTATTTTGGTATTTTACAAATATGATCACATATTCTTGCTAGCTATCTGTTGGGTTAGATGATGCTAATGACCCAGCCCCACTGCTCAGTTTATTTGCAGGCTTTTGCATGATGGGGACAGCTGATGCAGTAGATGATAATAGTGGTTTAGTGGCTGCACTATATATGGGTTGCTGAACCATTACGTTGGATACTGCTAAACTTGGCACAGCCAATTTTCTCTGTCGTTCCAGACTTCCAAATGATGGTGTATCCTGTGTGATGGTGGATGGAGCTTCATGCAATGCTGGCCTTACTTCTCGCTGAACTTCACCTACATCATTTTCAACAGTTTGTACAGGTACACCTGTGCAGATGTAGGTGTTTACATCTGGGTAACGGATTCGAATAGAGTCAATTACATCGAGCAAGTTCTTAGCATCCATTGCCAAAATATGTGCAGCTGATAACATTCCCCTAAAAAAGAAAAGATACAATTATGTGGTAGTTACACTGATATCTGCACTGATTCATCACATTTCTCCTTTGTGTACAATTGTCCTTATATGACCACTAAAGATCCAGAATAGCATTTCTCAAAATCATGTCAAAAAGATAAGCAGCAAGTTCCATGCTTGCTGTTCAGTATTAAGAAGAAAGCGTGTGGTTACCAGAATTTGTAGAGTAGTGAGTGGATTGTGAGAAGAATGTAATGTTGGTTTATTAATTATTTATTGCATAAAGAATATTCTTTTTATGCTGAATGGGGAAAATGTAATATGTGAAAGAAAAACACTTAAAATATGGAATCAAATTTATAATTAGAGAGAATAAAGCAGTGTAAGACTGTATATTTTCTGTTGGATCACTCCACATGGCTCAAGTACAGATGTTTTATAATGAATGAGACCTAACACCATGTAAGTATTCAGTAGAATGGTATAACATGTTTAACAAAAATGGTCTATCTTTTATATTCTGAAAGTATGTGGTGAAAAAGCTTTAGCCAGTTACGAAGGAGCAGAACTAATTTTCCATATGTTACCTCTTTCAAGGCTTATTTATCAACAGAACAAGTGTTCTCAGTTAGTTATTTGTGTGCTGAATCTTATTTCTCAGTTATTATATGAAAGTGTTTGTGAAACAGAAACCGAGTACTTACTTTCTATACTCAGCATCCAAAGTAGTACAGCTGTAGTTCTGTGCTAATTTCATGGCATTGACTAGTTCACCCATGTCCTTACTCAGCACTTTGTGTGCCATCTCCACCTGCAACACATTTCAGCAAGCGTTATGTAGAAAGCCACATTTTCACATCACTACGATCTGAATAATCATGCCTGTTCATCTAATGACTGCAGTCTCACGATATGGACATTGTGTTTCATTAAATAATACACCATATTCAAAATATTTAAAATAAACACTATAAAAATCAATAAGACCTGTATTTCATGATTACATGATGAAGTATTTATGAGAAATTTAATAGTATGACATGAGAGCTTCTTAGAAATTAAAGAGGTTATATTTGTCAATATGGAATACAATGAAATTCACTGACTTTTAGTATAGATCCCCCACAGCAAATTTAATCAAATACAGTTACATATTTTCAAAGGCAAAATATGGAAAGAAGAGCAGACTGATACAATCTTCCTATTACATGTCCACTTAAGGTGCTGTATGCAAATATTCAATAAAAATAAAACATTGTAGAGGGCAACTATGAACTGTTGACAGCAATCTACTTGAGAGACAGAGACAGAGACAGATAGAGACAGGACTATCTGCAGCAATGACTTTTGCATGCAGTTTTCCAGTCTCTTCTCTGAGAATATCGTTAAGCAATGTCTTGTGATGTATTCAGAACAAGTGAAATAATTCGTGACTAATGGCACAACATTCTAATTGTTTGAATCAACCGGTTTACAGGTCCATACCTCTCTGTGAGCTGAGACTGGAAAGATAGGAACAAGAGTATCCACACTAGAGAGCAGTGCCCGTAGTTCAATGCCCACACGTCGAACTAGTTCCAGGTACTGATCCACCTGACTCTGCTGAACACCTGGTAACAATATATTTTCTCATTCACATCAAAATCCCAAAACAATTAAAACTGTAACAATAAACAAATGGTTCATTTTAATTAGTGAAATACTTTGGATTGCTTAGTCACAATAAAGACTGCAATATTTTAGAGCGATCAATATTTGTAAAATTATATGAATACTCCATTGGAAACTGTTCAATGTATGTGGTATACATGATATATGCAAGATTTCAAGAGTCAGCTCTACTTCCATCTTTAGGCGAGTGGTTGTCATTAGTGACAGATAAGAGCAGAGTCAACTTCCGAAACATTGTGTATATCCAGTACACCTCATAACAGACTAATGTCCAACATGGTATTCCTACAACAAATCAATGACTACCTAGTCATTTGTATAATTATTTGTTATATACATAATAATAATTAAAATCATCCCTGTATAAAGATATTTAAGTACTGTGTTCTGATATGTGGACTAGCCAAATATATATATATATATATATATGAAATAAACAAATTTACATTGTAAAAATATTCATGGTTAAAGGAGATGACACAAAATCAGGTAACAGACATAAATAGTAATAAAAAGTCATAAAAGTTAATGGATTTTTAATAATCATTCATTAACTTGAATCTCAGCGAAAGTTTAGGATCACCAGCTTAGCTCCCCAGCAAAGTGGAGACTGAAATAGCATAATCAATCAATGGATATCAGGGACTGCTTCCTCACAGGATAAATAAGGATGGACAGTAAAATACAGCACTCACTTCATATAATGTCAGGGTTAGAATGCATGGAACTTGATACACTTACATAGCATGGTGTTTGGTCATGGGATTTACTTATACAAAATTTGTCACTAAGCGATTAAATGCCGCACAGTTAACAACACACAAGAGCAAACAAAACTCACCTTGCGACAATGACATAACAGCCTTAACCACACTGGTAGTACAGTCATACACTTTGTCATTGGAGCGATCTAAGTCAGCTGTTGGTGTTGGTTCCATCTTCTATTAACAACAAATTCTTATCAGACATCCACAATGATTAACGCAAAAAATATGTTCTGTAACACCATGCTAAAAGTACTGTTAAATTATGGGCCACAAAGATACTCTTTATAAAATACAGCTGCAAAGAAACATTACTGAAATGGAAGACAATCTGACTTCCCTAAGTCCTACAACGGAAAACACTTTATCTTAACCAACTAAACTAACTCAATGGAGCAGAGTTCTTCTTGGAAAGCGAAAATCCTCCCAGTAGGTACAGAAATTACTCACTTCTATAATTAAACCAGAAGGTTCATTACTATTCACAAGAGCCTGACACTGATCCGGCACAAATTCAATCCACAACCCAAGACCCTATTACGTTTTAATTCTAGCCTCCCATCTATGAATGCCTAGCTTATCAAAGTCTTCTATCCTCTTCAGGCTTTCCAAACAAAATTATGTATGTAAGATTTGAGGTTTTCACAGCGGTGAGTATGAAGACTTCTGACTTCTGGGTTGTTGCGCTGTGTAGTCTGATCGATGTTAACCAACGTTTCAGAGGTCATACTGCCTCCGCCCTGATGACAGAGGCAGTATGACCTCTGAAACGTTGGTTAACATCAACCAGACTACACAGCGCAACAACCCAGAAGACAGAAATCTTCAAAATTATGTATGCACATTTCTTTCAATTTTCTGGATAGCAGTAGTATTTGAAGTAAACAGTGAGTATTTAAAAAAAAAACATCTTATGTACAAAAACACAAAGTCATCAGTTCAGGTACCACAAACAGAAGGAAGTACATAACATACACCCATGGACAGAAAGATACCTTGACAACAATGACCCTCTCCTCAGCTGAACCGTTGCTAAGAGGTGTTGATGAACGATCCCGTTCAGAAGAATCATGTTGTGAGCTTGTGCGGCAGATGGTTGAAGGAGGTGTGGCAGAGGAAGGTAGGGGAGGGGTTGAAACACTGCCAGCATGATGCAGTGGAGAGCCGTCAACAGAATCTGTGTCCGATCGGTCTGATAAGCTCGTTGCGATGGACAGTCGCTTCTTCTGTGGTAGTGTATGCACAAGCAAAGAAAAAAGGCAAAGCCATGAAGCATCAGTACAGCAGAAGTATATGCAGCAACAATATGAAGAGCAACTTAATTCCTGATATAACCAATGCATTAGCAGCTGAAAATAACTGGCAACATTAACATCATTTTCACATAAAGTTTGCTCAAGGCACCAACATGTGGACTGGATGTAAATTCAAACATGGAGCACTTGTAAACAAAATCTCACTGGACTGTCAAAAGTTGCAGGTTTAACAATCTTATTTACAAAGAAAAGCAACTTCACAAAAGTAGGAGATTAACCCACTGAAGTGATTATCAAGACAAGATTACAACAGCATTGAGTAAATGACACATTAATCATCTAAAGAATATTAATATGTATCATACAGGTGTCCCAAAAAAATATATACACATTATAATAAGGAATATTAACCTTGTTATCAATCTCCATATGTTGTGTTATGAAGACATACATGGTGGTAATTTTGAACACCTATACTAGATATGATAATTCACTAAGTGACTGTGTTGATGTGTGTAACGGTTTAGTTTACTGAAATGTCCATTTCATTCAATGAATGTATATATACATCTCTTTCAGACACTTGGTATAATCCAATCGCTGAATTATTTCATTATTTGAAATGGCCTTTATATCACAATCTACAAACCAGTTCATAATATTGTTTGTAATGGAAATATAAACTTACCAGATTTGTTTCTTCCTCAGCCAACCACCGCCCATCCTCCTCAGATTCTCGCTGCTGTTGTCGCAGTCTCTGCTCTAGTAACTGCTGCTCCAGCTCCAGGTCCAGGTGGCTGCTGTCCCCTCCACCACCACTATCTTCCAGCAAATCATCTCCATACACGCTAGCAGCCGGAGTCATCTGGTTCTGTAAATGTTGCTCTTAATTACCTTCTGGGGACAAACTTATGCACCACATGCAAGACCAAAATCGCTATGACAGAAGCAATTCATGAGGAGAAGCAGTACCACTTATAAACTGGGATAATCACACAATTTATGATTAACTGCCTGAAATACATTAATGTAAGCAATAAAGATACACCAAGTTCTTCACAAAATTTATATATGGAAATATAACAAGAGGGAAGGTGTACTCCAGTTTGAGTACACATATTTCCAAACAGATTCTCAAAGATAAAATATTAATGAAAATTTCTATCAGATATTGCTTGCAGAACTAACTGGCAATATCGATAGCTACACTGCAGAGAGGTATTTTATTTTTGCTCATATTCCATTAAACATCCATAAAAGTGTTTCATATAATATATTACAGATCACATCACATCCTCATGCATCATGTAATGCTGCAGTATTATAGGATACCATTTGTATATTTAAAGACATATTGACACTATGCAACGTGATGAAACATGCACATACATACATATGCACAGTTAATACTTTCTTTCCTCTAGAAATGTAGCAAAAAATACTGTCATTTACTGATGAGCTGAGCTCTGTCCTTAATCAGTGTAGGTGTGGGAGAAGAGAAAAATAGCCCAATAACATAGCTGGAACTATAGCCAGTCCAAAATATTCCAGTTCAAAACATGTACTAACTCACTAACACGTCTTGAATAAGGTAAGGAGCTATGTTACTGTGCAGCCAACATCAAGATTAAGTTATTATATTCCCCCTTCCATAACAAAATAAATCAAACCGCAACCATCGAGCTCAGTTCCTCAGTAATGTCCTGTATAAGATGCCAAAGTTATGAAATTAGTTTGAAAAATTCAAGCTTTGTGAAACACATGTGCAGCCAAAACTCAAAACCAAAGAGATGCACTGATTAAATTACAGAAAATTATACAAAAAAAAACGCATACCATGCCAAACATAAAAAAGTCCCACTGAAAACAAAATAATATGAAACTTATTACTACAACATACCGCAAGTTTAAAAACAAATCAACAAGTGAAAAAATGTGCAAAGTTTACAAAGTCATATCTCATGCTTTCTATCAACTGGAAAATATTACTATTTCTCAGAATATGGCAAAGACAAAAACATTCTGTTTGCAAAGTATATAAAGCAGTGCATGTTCAAAGTCCGATCAAGCCATCTGCATCACAGGAGTAAATTATCTGTAAAACAAATCATCGGCTATGTAACTAAGCCCTTGATCTTAAATTACAACATAACAACAAAATTTTAAAAAACAAAATATACATTACTCAGTCATAAAATGTACAAAAGGGTCAATGGATGTTACTGATTTTGTTCCTACTCTTTCAATCAAACTTTCTTTAGTTTTACACAATGCTTTGTTTTAAGATCCTAATAACCATGGGGTCAACTGAAGTGGCAATGTATTTACACTTAGAGGTAGCCAGGAAATTGAGATAAAACCAAAGTACCTAAAAATGTTTACCGAGTCTTTTTTTATTTGAATACCCCTGAAGGGAAAATGTAAATTATTCTTTTACTCATACCTGATACATTATATAGTATTAATACGATGTGAATATTTTCATCACTGTGAGAACCTCAAATCTCAAAACTTTAGTTTATTTTTAAATTAAATGTACGATACTGTGAGGAACATAATCATTTTTATTTAAATAAAGATATTAAAGGAAATAAAAATATAGAAAAATAAGCATCAAGCGCTTAGTTTAACCAGATGCACCCAAAACATTCAAACCTGGCCTCCACCATCCTCTCGTACATTAGCGCAGCTGCTTGTCATTGACTGCTGGGATGAGGAAGAATCCAAGTCAAGTCCACCACCATAAGACGAAGTGAAGGATGTTGATGAAATTGTGGCACCATCACTGATAGCTGATGAAACTAAAGATGAAGGAGTTAAAACCTCAGTAACGGCTACTGCTGTTGTTGCAGCTGCAGGAGGAGAACCAGTTAGTGAGCCGGGTGGAGGGGGAAGAACACAAACCCCTCCCACAACAGGACTGTTACTGGAATGATATGGTCCGATCTCTTTGGTTTTTGGTTTTGATACTTTTCGTAAAACAGGTGAAGCAACAGGTACCACACTACTGGCTGGAACATTAGAGGTTGAAGGACTGGTTGTAGGGGAGCTCGTGGAAGAATGGGAGCCAATAACAGATAGTGGCGGAGAAGAGACACTTTTGGATGAAGAAGTAATTTTCTTGGAAACACCATAGATAACAGGGGACTGGGATAAACTGACTGGAGTTGAAATCACTGCCTGTGATGGTTGGGTAGGTGCGGAAGCTGATTGTGGTGGAGGTGTAGTCGTAGTTGAAGAAGGTGAAGCAGAAGTATTTTTTTCAAAATCTACCGCTAAAGTGTTGAATGCTGATGCTGGTGTAGTGTAGACAGAGGGTGAAATTCCTCTGGATTCATTTTCACGCAGAAGCTGAACCAGGACCTCTGGATTCTGTGCAACAATGTACGTGGTCGGGGCAGGAGTTGTGTTGTTGATGGAGCCACCTCCACTCATTGCGCCCGTCAATGAGGCAAGAGAAGTTGAGTTTGCAGCACCAAGAATGGGAAACCTTGAGGGTTTTGGTGGAGGGGGATCGTCTGATCCTGTCGAACCTGCAACAAATTCACGTCCTTTTAAGTATGAGCATTGCAGAAGCAGTGGAAGATGATAGGTTCTTATCTTCATGAATGGAGGTAAAGTCATCATTCAGCATCTATTTTAAGCCCTGTCAGTCACTGTCAAATGATGTGTGTCCACAAAACCCATATGGGATATGAATTCTGGAAGTCAGGATGTGTAATACCTTATTATCAACCTCATCTTAACATGATAAACCCCTTTTTTCCCCAGAAACAAAGTTCTTTGAGCCAAGTCGCAGCAGTTCAAAAAATGCCAGTAGTTGCATAATTCAAGGAGACGGAGTAAGCAAGCACCATGTTTTTTTTTCTTGATATTTGTATTTATGATTGTAGATTTTTTTGATAAGCAGATAGCTGCCTATAACTATATCACTTGAGTCATTTATAAACCATCCATCAATGAACAGGGTTAGAGCATTATTCCACATGTATGATAAATGGTGTTCACTTGGATGGATTGAAAACAACAAATTTTAAACCACTAAATCCAGAAATATAAATACTTTAAAAATGTTTTTGTTATTTTCCAATACTAAAATATCCACTTTTAAATACACTTCAGCGAGATGACAGCATTATGATGACAAATCATAACATTTCCTTGTTAAGAACAAGTTTCTGTATATAACTCTATTTCAGTCAGATGATTAAACATGGCTGGCAAGAGATGCCTATACAGAACTGCAATGTTCCATGTTTCAACACAGGGATATTCCATCTATTACTTGAACACACTACACAGTCAGCTAACTCAGTTGTTGTTTCTATAGCTACTGTGGCAATGTTTCGATAAAAGAGCTTGGTGAAAATAAATTAATCAAACTTACCCCATGACATGGCTTGGACACGTCGATTCTCCCTTCTCATGGTTTCTTGCTGCTGATGCCTTTCCTCCATTAAAATTTCACTGCAGTGACACAAAAAGGAATCATATGGTCTTAGTTTTATGATTCAGTCACCATACAATCACTGCTTTAAAGCCCAAAGCAAAACAGTAATCTATCAAATCATGCACACACAACAATAAAACTTGTAATTCCTATCACCAAATTCTCTGTCAGTGAAATAATTTGTTTAGGGGCTAGTCTTCTAGGCAAAAGTTAAGAGACAGGAAGGCCATGGAAAATATTTTATTTACAAGCTGTGATTCTCATCTTTATCCCAGAGTATCTCTTACAATTTTATAAATATAATTAAATCCTGTAGCATTCGGCTTCACAGTAAGTGCCAAAAAGAACAACAAACTCACTTGAGAACTTCACGTATGTCCTTGAAGCTAGGCCGTTTGGACGGTTCATACGCCCAGCATTGAGACATGAGGCTGTAGAGACGTGGTGGGCAGTTTTGTGGAAGGGCTAACCGCTCGCCACTCTCAATCTTCCCAATGACATCGTTGTTCTTCACGCCTTGGAATGGTTTTACTCCCAGCATAAGAATTTCCCACATACATACACCTGAACAACAGATTTCAATGTAAATAAGGAAAATAAGGGTCATCCTACATTTATGAAAAAGCCTTTTCCCATTTTTCTTTCTCCTATAAGTTTTTGCCTTGTACGTGCATCCAATCTTCCCCACTATTTGAGTTGATCAAAACTGTTAGAAAAACAACTTTAAGAAAAAGATAAGAAGACGGGAGAAATAGGAGGAAGTTCAACAAATACTGATAATGATAAATTATCAAATTTAAGAAAATAGTAAACAGTAAGAAGACAGTGTTTTATTGCAACAGAATAGGAGATGATCCAAAACAAGATATTTCAAAATGAGTTTGCATATCCACTAATATAAGTGAGAATTCAAAATGAATCCCATTTACATTTACCAACACCTCCACATTTATTGCACTGAAATGTTGTGACTTTCATGAATACGTTAACACAGTAAAAGTACCAAAAACTTTACTGTATTTAAATTATTGTGAAATATTACATTTAAGGAGAGGACAGAAATATTTCCTCTCAGAGTGGTTGCACAATACAAAATAATGCACCATAAATATAATGAAGACATTAAAAAAGTGTAAATAACAGTAATCAATTCAAAAATAATGCCTGAAAACCAAATTCCAAACTGATTCTATCAATATTCATGGGGCAGAGAAGCTGTAATTAGAACAGGCCAACAGCTTAATCATTTACAATGAAGACAAACTTATAATTAAGTTTTGAAAATATTAATTTTGAAACTGATATTCTTTAGCCAGACCAATATCACTACTGTCTGGCATGTCTTTCAATGAACGTATTAATGTCTGGCGGCAGCAAAAAAAAAATAAACAAACAGACCAATCAGAAACATATGAATTATGAAAGACAAAAAAGAAGCTTACCAAACATCCACACATCGCTGGCTGTAGTAAAGCGCCTAAAGTTAATGGATTCTGGAGACATCCACTTAATAGGTAGCTTGCCCTTACTAGCCTTGTAGTAACTCTGGTCTTCCACCCAACGACTCAGACCAAAGTCAGCCAACTTCACACAGTTGTGAGCTGACACTAACACATTGCGAGCAGCTATGTCCCTAAAAAGTCACAAAATAGTGTATTTAAAAACAGATGAATTAACCAATATTCACCAACTTTAATCTGAACATGGCCGCAAAACTTTAACGGTGCATATGAATGTTATATTTTCTATCCCTATCGTTTAATGTCTTTGTGTTTTTATGTGAATCCCTCTGGACCACAGCTTCCAAACAAGAAATGTTTTCCTCAAAATAATAAGAGACCTTTGTCTTAACCATTTTTAAAAATTCAAAACAATCATGGTACAAAAGTGCTCTCCTCTACATGTCCTATGAAGCCTGAAGAGATCAAATTCAGTGTCAATGTCGTATGTCTGAGCCTCTAGTGCTAGCAATGACTTGAGTTGATAACTGGTATCAGTATAATGGCAATGAAATGTTCTGTAATGTTACGCACCCAGACTCCCTGGTTCAGCTCTGTTATTTAACTTTCCTAATGACTCACATTTAATAATTTAAATTAGGGAGTGCACTGATCTACCTTAGATATAAACTAAAAGACTTGTGATCAAATTGAGGAACATAATATTTCTCTAACCTATGCACAAATTTCTTAGATTCAAGGTATGAAAGTGCAGTGCTGAGTTGAAATGTATAAAGCAGCAACGTTGCCAAGTCTAAACGGTGTTTGTTGCTCTGTAGGTATGCTCGCATCTCTCCCAGCCTCGCCAGCTCCATCACAATCCAGATTGGACTCTCTGAACACACGCCAATCAGCTTTATGATGTGAGGGTGGTCAAACTGCTGCATGATATCTGGCAACACAGCAGGAAAAGTTCTGATCATTGTATACATCATTATACTTTGAAAATATATTACCTCTCCCCACAAGCGCCTACATAGTTTACAGTGGGACAGCTTTCATGACAAAGTTAATGAAAGCACAGTAGGCCTAACAAAAGTAAATATAAAAATGTCAACAGATGACTTGTTTTTACTACAAAAGAAGGAAATCAGTTCATCAAAGTAGTAACAGGGAAGTAGGGGGGTTACTGCAGCATAAACAATACACACAATAAATTAAACTGACTAATCCAATAGCCATAAAAAAGTTTAAAATAAAGCTAGGCAAAGCTATTTCTAGCACAGAATTAGATCCATCTATCAGGCCACTGGGAAGGAATGAAAATATAACAAGCAATTCTACAGTGCAAAGTATAATCTTTTATTTGCTCTTCACATTGAATCAGTTCTCATTTCTTCATGATAATGCAGTGTAAGATAGAGAACAGAAACAAAATGACAATTTTAACATTTTATGACACCTACAAATTATAAAATTAAAAGGATTTAAATATAAACTAGTCTGAGTTGATGTTATCAAGACTGAACATGCTGGCAAGAAAACAGGGTTGCAACATAATGAATACTTACAGGCCTCTTCTAAGAATTTCTCAGCTGTTGACAGGTCAGCATCAGCCTTGCAGGTCTTGACAGCTACTGGGATCAGCTGACTGTCTCGTCCCTTGAACGTTCCTTTATGGACATCACCAAACTGTCCCTCACCTATAATCTCCCCTAATTCCACCTGGTTTCTAACCAGCTCATAGTCACGTGCTGTAAAGTATTCCAGATGTCATCAGTTTATATTTATTTCTACTTTCTTGTGTATTATAAACTGAATTCCTGGAATAGGAATACAGGCTTCATATACACACCGAACTTAAGGTCAACACAACTCCACAGTCTACCTGCATTATCAGAAACATCCATAATTATTGAAAGTCACAAACAGTATTAATAATAACAGGGTGTATACACAAAAAGACAACTGCCTCTGTACCTACATCTTGAAGATGTATTGGGGAAAAAAGGGGGGATGGAGAAATGATTTCTTTTTCACAGATCAGTTAAATCATTTTTGAACCCAAACTCAATTGATTTCAGCATATTACACAATGAGAAACTTCATTTATACAGACCCCATATAAGTGAAACTAAGGAAGCTGTAATGAATTGGGCACGTAGCTAGAATGGAAGGAAATAAAATAAAAATCAAACAGAATTTTGGTGAAGAAACCTCACTTGAAAGAAATTAAGAGGAAATGATGATTAACATTAAGATAGATCTTGGGGAAGTAGGTTGTGAGCTAGGATTGAGTCCAAAGGCACATTTTTGGTGTTGAACTTCTGGGTTCTGCTGCCACAGTGTCATCTCATTAGTTTTCTCTGCTGATACAACACATAGGTTTAAATGAGCTTCAGTAACAGAATTGCTTACTGGCTGGTGTTGAGTAGTCACCCTCCTCATCCACTATCTCTGCGTAGTCCTCCGACAGCATGGTGCCAGTCTGAGCTGCTGTTGTCTCTGGACTGCCTGACCCTCCACTAGCTTGTCGTGAACCAACTCCATGCTGCTGCTGTTGGCGGTACTTTGGAGGGTGAGCATCTGAAGAAAAATGAGAGAAATGCAAATAAAACAACATAAAGGTGACAGCACATCAAATAGACTTACGGCTATCTTACTGAATGGCATAAAACATCAAATTAAAATTATCTTTTTCAAAAGGAACATGATCTGCAGATGTTCTATAAGTTACAAATTATGCAACTTTGATCACATACTATGACATCAGTGATGTGGTCAGATGGGACTTTCCAAATTTTCATAACTTTAATGTGCTAAATTTATAATTGTTCAAATCTAAGCTAATAAACAAGGTAAATCAATAAAACATAGGGAGGCCAAGAATAAGACAGCTGAGGTCAGAACAGGCTTCTAGCCTACCTTTAATCATAACACGTGTGCAAACAAAGCTTAACGAACACCAACCTTTGAGTGAACAAGGACAGGGGTAGTGCTTCCATATTGCAGCTTTTAGGTAAAGGAGAAAGAAGATAATATTAGACAGTTACAAACTCTTTAACATACAACACACATTAGTTAAATCCAATCTTCATAACTGAGTGTTAAGAAAGCAGTTTTTAAATACAACACACATTAAAAGCCTCTCACAGTATAAAAACAGGAAGCATACCTGCCTTCACTACTCAAATAACATTCTCAACTTTCTCATGAATTATGCTGTTTAATCTGACAGGTTATGGTGACCATATCAGAGTATAACAATTACACCAGTGCTGGAGGTAATGCTGAAACACAACGCCTGCCGAGAGGGTCATAGGTAACAACTCCACTATTGGGCCTAGCACCATTTATTAACCAACAAACACGTCTTCTCATTGTAAGATTTGAGGTTTTCACAGCGGTGAGTATGAAGATTTCTGTCTTCTGGGTTGTTGCGCTGTGTAGTCTGGTCGATGTTGACCAACGTTTCAGAGGTCATACTGCCTCCGTCATCAGGGCGATGGTGAGTATGAAGATTTCTGTCTTCTGGGTTGTTGCGCTGTGTAGTCTGGTCGATGTTGACCAACGTTTCAGAGGTCATACTGCCTCCGTCATCAGGGCGATGGTGAGTATGAAGATTTCTGTCTTCTGGGTTGTTGCGCTGTGTAGTCTGGTCGATGTTGACCAACGTTTCAGAGGTCATACTGCCTCCGTCATCAGGGCGATGGTGAGTATGAAGATTTCTGTCTTCTGGGTTGTTGCGCTGTGTAGTCTGGTCGATGTTGACCAACGTTTCAGAGGTCATACTGCCTCCGTCATCAGGGCGATGGTGAGTATGAAGATTTCTGTCTTCTGGGTTGTTGCGCTGTGTAGTCTGGTCGATGTTGACCAACGTTTCAGAGGTCATACTGCCTCCGTCATCAGGGCGATTCATCGCAACAACCCAGAAGACAGAAATCTTCAAGTCTTCTCATTGCCCTCAATGTGTTACAACTTGTACAATGGTAACAACATCGACCGTACATATGTCTTGAGAAATTTTTGGCAGTAAACCTATTAAAATTAAATAACAAGAATAGCATTGAAATTACAACCACCTAACTACATTAAAAAAAACAGGATATGAACAACAGAACTTCTAAACTAATGTTTTTATACATTACATTATCAATACTTAGATACACTGATTTACCTTTTCTGTTCCAGAGGGAAGTAGTTGATTGTGTGGCAAGGCGACAGTACCCATCGATGAGGTCGGCCAAACTCTCAGCAACTTCCAGTGATGGACAGGTTATGGTGAGTGTCTCGGTGGTACCAGCTACCCGAAGCTGCACAACAGCTTTTCGATGCGTTTCACAGTCCGACACTAATGTCTGGATGGCCTGGATCCTATCAAACTCCGCCATTCGTGTTGGCTGAAACAGGAAGCACCTCTACTACACTTAAATACATGAAATTCTCAAACACAAAATTAGTCGATGCAACTTAGAGTAACAGTCAAGTTCAAGCCAAACATATCAAAGTAAATTAAGTTTATTTAACTTACAGTAGTGGCTCGATGAGTCATGTATGATATACCAAGATCAGGCCCTATGACTAGCTCTACTGGAATGGACCACCCTGACTGCAAAAGATCAATGGTGTGTACATTACTTGTCTTCATACTCACAAGTTTATTAAATATTAATACATTACACAATTCAGATAAATACTTACCCCAAGATCACAGCGAAACCTCTCCTGGTCGAAACGATAATGAGCTCGAAGGAGCTCAAAGAATTTGAACATACATTCAAGCTCAGAAAGAGCTGCCACCTTTTTGAAATGCTGCTGGATTAATTTTCGCAATGCCTTGGGCTTCATGCCATCTAGCACAGCTCTTGGCAAGAACTTGTGCAACCCAACCTAAATAATAGATAAACAAAAATTAAACCAACAAAAGTACTGTTTCAATCACCCATTGAATTAACCTCCATTCAATCAAGTGCATAAATTAATACACACAAGTTTGCAGTCCACAAATAATGGTGATTTCAAGGTCTGGACTATCAATTAAATTGCAGGGTCAGAGCAGGTAGCAAGTAGCATAAAGGAGGGTTTAATGAGAATGTAATCTCTGGATTTTATGTTACTTAATAAATTAATAATAAAACAGTAATTAAATAATGGTAGGCTGATAAAGAGGTGGTGTGACTAAATAAACACAGCTGTAAGAGGCTAAGTATAAGCTAATCCAAGAAGGTCATAAATAAGTAGATTAACTATATTAATCATTAGTTAATATACCGCTGTTATTTAAACTGCACAACAAAGATCACACTCATATGAGTAATTATATAGTTACTGGGATACTGGGAATGACCCGTTCTTCAAGTGCCTGAGCACTGCGGGTCCCAACTTTTTGTTGGCTCGATCTATGACATTCGGTAGGACTCCTTGGACGAGGGATCGGCCCGTCGCAAGGCCTCTACCTGTACACAGGACAGCGCAACACAGAAAAACGCGGACAAACATCCATGGCTTGAGTGGGATTCGAACCCACGGTTCCAGCGACCAGGCGGCAGAAGGCCCACGCCTAAGAACGCGCGGCCACTGTGGAACCCAATTATATAGTTACTGCTAATATTTCATTCATAATTTATTTTACACGTGGACATCTGCAACAAGTACCTCCAAATAACAAAGAAAATTCTGAGATTACTTTCATTATATAAAACATTTCTTACATTTTATTAAGTTTTTACCTCTCTTTCAAGATACTCCAAGTTTGATTTCTTGTCAAGGGCAATCTGTGGCATATCCTTGAAAAAATAACGAATTTCCAAGCAGCACAACTGAACGGCAACATCCTGGTCCAAAGCAGCATGGTCTGCACACAGGTAGTCGTTCCGCACCTAACAAAACACAAAAATAGTTCTCTTCAGAGATGTAGAAGATTCCTGACTAATTCTGCCATATAAATTCTTCCCTGGGCAACTGATACTTAAAAAGATAATCAAAACTTCCTTCTTTATTGAAACAATTAAGGCTATTTAACACACTGTCAACAGCTCAGACCATACACGGGTGACTCGCATTATACATGCATTCCCACAATTAGTCGTGTATATCAAAAACGCATAAAATAGGTGATGCATAACATGCACGTGGATTTTCTGAGACATACACCATGAGAGGCCTTAATTTGTAATGTTTTCAAAGTAGGTAAAGAGACTCGGGTACTACGGCAGTGGGAAACCAGTAGTAAAGGAGACACAGGTATTAAAAGCAACTAAGAAAATGCATCCCCTTTTACTTCCATGTCAACATGACAATATTACTGTAACTTTGCTGCCTATAATATGGCCTAAATATGATTAGTGACATGAACACAACACTAATCTTGAAACTATATCTGTCCTCAACTCTTGAGAGCAGGTGTCATGATTAAAACTCTGTTGAATATTATTTTATTGTCATATATTTTTCTCTGTGTCTAAAGAGCTAACACAATATATCTTAGGTGCTTGATAAGAAGGTTTTAACCCATTACAAACTAAGTTTAATTTAAGCCCTTCTAAGTGAGCAACAAGAACATATTAACTAATGAAGCTCACCTGATCATAGTAGTAGTAAAAGGTAACTCGATCCTTCTCATACAAATCAGTGAGATTCTGTGGTAAATAGCGTACCCTCAGCTCATATCGCCATTCCGAGTGTGGGTGTTTGCGCTCATACTTTTCTTGCACCTATTCATGTAAAGAAAAAGAACATTATGACATATAACAACATGGTATCAAGTCAATCTCAGAAGCTGTAACTGTTATGAAATGTGGTGTGCCGTAAGTGGAAACTGAAGCACTACTTTATTAGTTTTATGTGTTAAAGAAAACATTTTAATTAAACTTAACAAGCTGTCAGTATAACATTCTAAATAAGTGAATAACATGTTTCCAGACAAGGTTACTAATATAATACAATATATACAGTAGAACCTCTCCAAGTTGGACACTTGGGGTTCCACGAAAATGTGTCCAACTTACAGGTGTGTCCAAGATAGAGAGAAAGAGAAAAATCAGATTGTGGTTTAATGACAATATAATCTATTTACTTACATACACTAACTACTGTAGGCTTACTTGAATTAAGAATTAATAACAGTAGTATTAATAATAATCTTTTGAAGCCCACTCCCATGCACTGCACATTTCACCCCAGCCTCAATAACATTTTCTAAAGTTAATTCCACCAATTTTCGCTTCCCCATCGCAAAAAGAAAAATTCCATTTCTGTTCATACAGTCTGAACTCAAATGCAAGCACAGTGCTGATGGAGTTAAAACTGTGTCTTCTGCAATACTGTAGTCCAGTTAAGGGTTCAGCAAAAGAATAGTTAAACACTTGCAATGCATTCCAATGATGGGTTCAATGTCCATAAGATAATCCTCCAGAGAGGAGGCATTCATCAGCCAGAAATTCAAAATAACAAAATATGTGACTGAAAAAGTTTCCCTGAAAAGCATCGAAGTTAAGTGCATGAACCTGTCCAACTTACAACAAAAGGGGTGTTCAAGTTCCAGGATAAAGGAGTGTCCAAGATATAGGGTATTGTGGACATTTAAAATTATAGGATATTCGCCTGTTCCGATTAAAAGTGTCCACGATAAGGGGGTGTCCAACTTGAGGGGTTTTACTGTATAATAAAATACCTCACAGCTACTAAGCAGCCTTAGCAAAGTACTGAGTTTAGAATAGTATACCACTCTGTTATATGCACTAGGTCCAGTTCTTCAACTATCTGAAGTAGAGGTAACAATTTATTCTCAGTAATTAAGCTGACAAACTGTTGTTGTTTATACAGCACAATGTATTCAGGAAATGTATTTGTTAGATATGACAAAGGCACAACAAATAATACTCCTCATTGTGCTTTATAATGACGTGACTGGTCTACAGATCAATGACAGAAGTACCTGGTACATGGTGGTGTCCTGGTGCAACCAGTACACTTCCCCTGTGGGCGGGTGTTGTAACCTCATGGCATATAGGTGCTGATACGCCCGCTGTCCCGTGGCCAAGCGACTTGTTATCAGGGTTATGATACCCTACAGTAAAACAAAATGTGAGAATTATGGGTAAGCCCCATCTTCACAGGCAACCTGGTCACACAACTGAACAGAAACACAGAGGCCATATTCAGGGGGGTTATCGATTCGACACCTGCCCCTCAGGCAAATAGAATCTGAAAAGAGCATTTTATTTTAAAAATTGTGATTAGTACAATTCATATTACAATAAATGTTCTGTATCTCAATAGCAAAGTGCATATGAAGTCTGTGACAAGACAATAGTTCTGTCTGGAAAATGATTCTACCAGCATGCTACTGAACCGAGACCAGACAGAAGTGAAGACGAGAGTTTATACGATGCAGGAAACTGAAACATACATGTATAACCAATGAAAATTAACATCAATATTCTTTTGTTCTCTACCATTTTACAATGAATCAAGTCAACGTGCCTTGAATTTACTTGAATGTCCAAAGCTATCTTGGTGTTCTGTTCATTCTCATTCAGATAACATAAATCTAGCCTTGATTTATGTAACATCTCCTCTAATGATTTTACCCCAGTGTTCCCTTGTATTGGCTTGTTACTCATTCTCTCTCTTCATTACTCCAATCTCACAGATCACAATCCCAGCTGCTTTTATCTTCCCTTAAGTAAATGATTATGTGACTTAATTTTAAAATAATAATCCATGGCATAACAGCCCTCTGAGAGCCAAAGCCAACTAGCTGGCTGCTGGCCTCACGTTCACATGCCTAAGCAGAGATGAACGATCATCCAACCAGATATAGGGTGACGTATGGTCAGCACGACGAACCCCCAGCCATTGCTAGTTTTCCTGACCGGATTACGCTACCAATTGTAGCTCCCCAATTTCCTCACAATGCTGGGTTAGCACTGGTCCCATACACCGGTCGAGAGCTCATGAGAAATTTCTTTCCCCCGAGACTCAAACCAGCGCGCATTCCATGTCGCCGGTCCGAAGTATGATGCCTCAGACCGTGCAGCTATGGCGCGGAACACTTAATTTTAAAGCCTTCTCAAATAAAGATAGTAACTTAATTTGAATAAAAAAAACAATTTGAAATGGTCCTTCTAGATCACTTACTTTCAGATGCTATTTACATTCTCTTGTTCAATACAACCATATTCTTCACATGTCTGTACAGATGTTTAATTCCCTTTATACAAAAGTCAGTTGTAGTTTGAATTACATTTTGATTTAATATCGTTTTACAAAATGTTGGTATCACTTCTGTGCATATTCAATAAGTTAAAACAGTAGTGTTTATACAAGTTTCATAGAATTAAATGCTGCCAAAACTCTAACAGACATACAGACATCATCAGCGCTAACAATCTACACAAAGTCTACAGTAAAGTTATGACAATTAAAGGGATGCAGTGAGACAAGATGGCATCTCACTTCCTTGAGGTTTCTACAAAACCATCCAATTCCTTAAACAATGAATACAAAACAGCACAGTACCAAAACCACTACAGATGGAATCACAACATTTTGCACAGAAAAGCGAGAAGTGAGAAATGGATGTCTGAGGTATCTAGATCTACACAATAAGAGTTAAAAAATGTATTGATGCAAAAAATTATATGAAGATTTCCGTCTTCTGGGTTGTTGCGCTGTGTAGTCTGGTCGATATTAACCAACGTTTCAGAGGTCATACTGCCTCCGTCATCAGG